GCGTGTCTTGGCGCGGGCGGGGGGGGGGGGGGGGGATGGCAGCAGTGGGGCTCCCACTGACGGCTGGGCTGGCGTGTGTGGTGTCTGCCCTGCGCCCCCGGGGACGAAGTTGCTTGGAAGCAACGCAGGAGGAGCGTCAGGCCTGAAAGAAACAAGCTCTGAATAAGCTACGGCTGGAGCTGCCATTTCGCTTCCTGTCAGCTTCATACCTCTTCACGCTTACTCGGGGAACGGCTGTGTTGCCTGTTCTGGGTGGTATAGTTAGGCCTTGTAATGCCTGGAGAACTCCTGGCCTTTATCCCGTTGCTTGTTTATCCTCTTAGACTCTCTTGAAGGACCCCAAGCTATCCAGTGTTGTTATGAACCCTCATACCAAGAGCACGGTTAAACAAAAAGCTGTGAATGATGCTTTAGCTAAAGAGAAGATGTCCCCTATTACTGTCAACTTGATGAGTGAGTAACCATTTGAATTCTGTACAAGTACAGTACCAGTAGTTATTTTTACTGGTACCTTACTAAATCTGCTTCTAGTGGGTGCTTTAAACCCTTTCAATGTATCTGCCTCATCCAGATTTGCTTGCTGAAAATGGTCGCTTGCGTTACACTCCGGACATCGTTTCTGCGTTTGGGAAGATCATGAGCGCGTACCGAGGAGAAGTGGTGTGCACAGTCACCACGGCACAGGTGAGTTAGGAACCTCTAGATCAAGCATAGCAGGCAGCAGTTCAAGAGGAAAATGTCTTTAATTTTGCTCTCTGTAGTTTTAAGTACTTGCTATACGAGCTGTGAGAAAATATCTCACCTTCACCAAGATGGAAGTCTTTCTGCAAGTAGCTTTTTGATGTCCAGCAATTATTGGTCAAAAATTAAACCTCTTCCTCCCACTTCAGCTTTACAGGCAAACATCCTTCCTTCCTATGTGTGAACACAGTGGCTGATAAAACTCAGCCTAGTCTGCAGATACAACTGCCTCTGTTCTTATTTCTGTTGTTGGGATCGTACAGATCAGGTCAGATGAGCTATTAGCTAGAGTAAGGCATATACCTGTTAAGATTGAGAATGCTTGTGGTTCTTGGTCCTGTGCTTCATGGGAGCAGCTGCTGAATTCACCACCTGCAGTTACTGGGACAAGTGGCTAACTCTGAAACTGTAGGGAAACTTTTTCAAAAGGAGCAGACAAGCAAGTCTGGCTGGCGCCCAGGAAGGTGAGAGGGAAGAAGGCTGGAGGCACAGTGCTTCTGGCACTTCAGTAACAACTTTGTTAATGGAGCCATGTCCAGGTTTGTTAGAGCAGAGAGCTGCTCAGCTAAGTGTGTAATGTAAATCTATAGCCTTTGGGTAGGGCTATAGTGAACTGCCTACCTGGACTAAATAAAGAGACTCATCCACTTCAGGTTGACTCTCTCTCTGTAGGCCACAAGCAGAGATTGCCAGTCTGGTTGGTAGCTTTCAGAGACATGTGAACTTGCAAGCCTGTGCAAACCTTTCCACAGGCTTTACTAAATATTTCATGCATAAAGTTACTTTATTGCTGCTTTTTTATTGTTCTTAGTTTATTTTGACTCTCAAACTGCTAGCTATTAAATAGAAATTATTTGAATAACCATTAACACAGAACCATTGCTCTTCGATAAAGTCCCTTTTTGTTTCTATCATCTCAGGGGTATCTGAGCAACTTGTAGGGGAAGGAAGGACAAATTCAGAGCATCCTTCCCACAGGGATGCAGAGTTCTTCCGTGGTGGTGGAGAGAGGTGTACTTAGCCAGGAGTGCTCTGCCAGCCCAATGTGGGGCTGTAAGCTCACTGCTGGTGTCCTCAGACACTGACCAGTGCTTTACGTGAAACTGTGTTTCTTCTCAAGCTGATAATTTTGATTGTCAGCAGCAGCAAAATTAGCCTTTCCTTGTACTCCATGAGCGCTGCTGTGAGGTAGATCTCAAGGTTTTCTATCAAGTGCTTGCTTTGGCAAGTGCTGATTCCTGACGCTTTCCATCTGAAGATGTCAGCATCTAACTTTAGCTGGGAATATGCTCACAAATATCACAACGTTTCATGAAATTAGGAGGGCACAAAGTGACTGCTGTTTCTATGCTGTCCTTCGGTTATGTCCGAGAAGGCTACTTACTTAAGGCTACTTACTTCCTGGTGGAAATGTCTGTCTTCAGAAGAATCTGAACAGAAAATTTGGGTTCTCCTTATATCATATGAATGTTTTCAAGTCCTTAATTTTCCTTGTTCATGTTTTTCAGCCCTTGGATGATGCCAACCTTACTGAGCTAAAAAGTGCTCTGAATGGATTCTTGGCTAAGGGAGAGGTCTTGAAGCTGGAGACCAAGGTCTGGATTTTTGATTTGTAAATGAAGTTTGTGTTAAACTGGACTTCTGTCTGTCTGATTTAAAAAAGAAATATATCATTTTACTGAGTCCAGTTGCCATATTGCATAGTTCCATGTTTTCTTATAGACATGATGATGCTTTCATTACTAAAATCTTAACTTTGGAACGCAGTGACTGCAAAGTTATCTTAAAAAAGGCTCTCTTAAAGGATTGGAGCCTTTTTACTAGTGTAAAAATTGTACGAGGCTAACATTTTTGTTAATAGAATTTCTGTTCAATGTTTCTTCTTTAGACTGATCCGTCGATCCTTGGTGGCATGATTGTCAATATCGGGGAGAAGTACGTGGACATGTCAACAAGGTCTAAGATCCAGAAACTCACCAAAATCATGAGAGAGACTGTCTAGCAAGCTGTCCTGGTCATTCACAGTAAAACCTGTCAGATGGAAACAATAAAGTTATTTCTTCTGGAACAGGTGGTGTATTTTGATTCAGAAACACAGTGCTCGGGGAGAAAGGTGGTGAAGCTGCAGTGAGTTTCACTTGGTCCACACTGAGCGTCTCGTGACACACCTTGAAAATCTAGCTGCCCGTGAATGCAGGTGAACCTTGGTCTGAAGGCAATGGAGAATAATGGCCGTAGGAACTGATAAATGAGGTCACTGCTGCTGAGGTTCTGCCTGTCTCTAGAGAAAATTTGTGCAGGATGTTGTCAGGGTGGTGGTGGTGCAACAGTCCTGCTGCCTCCCATGCTGTTTGTGTGTGTGGGAGGCACGAACACCAGAACTGTGACTGGCAGAGCCTTTCCTAAATAGGCAGAGGCTGTTAAAACAGTGCATTCTGAGCAGCAAACGCTGTAGCAGGCCCCAGTTTACCTCCCTGTCTGTATGGTTGGAGAGAATTTTGTGTGTGCATTAAATTAAAAGTGCCCTCTGATAGAGTATTAATGAGAAGCTAAGGTGTTTGTAACAGAAAACTGCATTAAAAAAATGGTTGGAACCTGACTGTGGTCCTCAACTAAGGAGCACTGTGGCAGTGTAGACATGGTCAGCTCTATGTCCTTCCTTCTTAACATTGGGACACATTTGTTAGCTCTCCTGTCTCTGGAAGTCCTGGGCATCTGTTCACCATTTTGGATAACCTTGGGCAGGCTTGTAAACAAGCACGAAATGCCCATTTCTCGCTGTCGGTCCTCTGTCAAGAGCTGCTGTTTGACTTCTTCATTCTGCAGGGGTGGGATGTTGAACTAGTAGTGCTAGATCACTCCAGTTGGATTGTTATTGAAACCTGTTAACCAGCCACATTTTTATTATTTATTTACCTTTAGAATATTTTTCACAAATAGAAGTAGCCCCTGCAGGGGAAGGAGTATTTAGCCCTTTGCTTTCTCTGGTATTTCATGCTGGAAGTACATTTTCTGCCAGGGCCACCCCAGGGCTGGTGGCCGTACCTCCTGCCTGGAGGAGATGGAGAAGTCACAGGCTGCTCTCAGCTCCTTGGGGCCAGGAGTGGTGGGAAGGGCTGGGGATGGAAAAGCCTGAGGTGGAATTAAGTGCTGCTTCTGGAGGGGCTGGGAGCAGAGCATCAGGGTGGGCTTGTGCTGGGGAAGGGGAGGGAGCACTGAAGCTTGATGAGGTCGGTGATGAGGGTGAGTGGCCCCAGCTCAGCTGGTTCAACGGGGCTTGGACAAAGCAGCCCCAAAATGCTGGTGAGCTTCCTGATGTGTCCCATCCCACCTACCTCTGCGGCGGCTGTGATTTACAAACTGGTGCTCTGCTACAGCTCTGTCCCCTTTCTGCCACCCCAGCCCCAAAACAGCTGGGAAAAATACACACCCCCGAGGTGCGGGCGTCTGCGGGTGCTGAGCTCGGCGAAGGGACCCACCGTTTAACAGGAGGGTACCAAGGGTATTGCCCTCAGGGCAGCTGGCCAAAATCAGTAATTATTAACAAAAATTAGGGGAGAGATCAGCCTCGGGCAGCGGGGCCACAGGCAGTGGCTGACAATGTTGGGTCTGGCACCTTGCTCATACCTACGGAGCCCTTTTGTCAAAAATACTAACCTGAAGATTCCCTTGGTGTGTCTGACACCTTATCGCTTCTTCAGCGCTTCTCAAGAACGTAACAGTACACAGTTACACTTTTTAAAAAAAAAAAAAAAAATTGGATTTATTCTTGCATAATTTCACTTGCACAAATACAGTCTCATCTGTGTCAAACCAATCGCGCAGCCCAAAACCTTAATGGTGGTTTCCACCTCGGTGACTGCAGTCTGGGAAGCAGCGCAATCCCGCCAACAGGTGAATACATTTTAAGAACTTTTGCTTAATTGGACCATGTCTGTAAATAGAATTATTTAACCAAGAGTGGCCGAGGAGACAACACGATGAGAGCAACCCATGTACAGCTGAAATTGTCTTATGAGAAACAGTGGTGTCTGATTCATAATTATTCATTATACCTATTACGAATGCTTTAAAAAACCCAAAAGAAACCAACTTCACAATATGAATGTTTTACTGTAGAATAGTTAGATGTGATGCAAATGAACAATACAAATTAATTCCATTTTCTCCGAAAAAAAGAGAAAAGTAACTTTGTCTCCTATTTGGCCAGATCTTAAGACGTACACATAACAGTTATTTTATAATGCCTTTGTAATTTTTAAGATCTTATGAATACTACAGACAGTACAATACTTCTTTCTTTTTAAGAAAAAAACAAAACTAATTGATATGACTTGTTTGGCAGCAAAAAGTGCGCTAAAAATTAACACAACCACTAGCAGAGAGGGGGACTCCTGATTCTAAGTATTAACACTGAAAAAAATACTACAGTTATCTTATGGGGGTTTTTTACCAACAACAAAGTAGAAGGTACCCATTGCACGGTCTGCAAAGGCTGCTTGCTGGAATACTCAGTTCCCTGTCAGCAACTTGAGGACTGGACTAGGGTAATTCCACACAAGCTGTTGACAAAGCCAAAGCCTTCTGGGAAAACCTGCCCCATGAGGGGTCCACCTTGGCCTTTTCCCATGGGGTAGGGGTTGCCTCACCGTATGGAGCCCGTTCTTTCTTGCTATGGCCCTCACCAAGGTGGGATGGATGCCAGCGGTGTGGGAAGGCCAATGCCGGTCCCTCTACACCAACATGACCTCTCAGGCGGTGCTGTCTGGTCACCCCAAAAGCAGCCCATCCCGGGGTGAGGGTGGTGGTGCAAACTTGGGAAAGCCTCAGGAGGTGGTGAGATGGAGCCTGAGCAGAGGCAGCCAGTTGGCCAAGCACCCGCACCAGAGCCAGGAGGATGCTACAGACCTGCACCTGACCTTCCCCCTTCCTCCTGGCAAGAATGGGTCATACCATAGAGCACCCACCACAGCTGGGAGTGATTTCCCTTCCAATCCATCACCCTGTGGACACCCACCCACGTTTTTTGGGGGGGAGCAGAGGTCCTGCTGCTCACCAAACTCTTCTTTTTTAGCTCTGTCCCTATTTCTTCCCTTTTTTCCCCAACACTCCTGCATGCCAGCACCCCCCTTTCAACTGCACCCACCATGGAGGGCAGAAGCTGCTGCCTGGGGGTCAGATAGAGGAGTTCAGGCAAAGCACCAGCTCCCTTCACTTACAGGACACATTAAGATCCCAGAACCAACCATTAAATCCAGGGCTAGGGATGCTCCTGTAGCTTTACAAGCAGCCCAAGGTCTTCACCTACGGTCACAGCAGAGCCTTTGACAACTGTATCAAGCAACTAGGCTAGTTTAACATATTATTATGGCAGTTCTTTATTTATTTTTTTTTTAATTAGGTCCTAAATATATCCTCCTATGTACAGAAAAATAATTTCCCAAGGACAGTCCTTATTTTAAAATATTTAAATGAAGAAACAAAACTGGGTGCCTATGAATACTTTTCTGTTAGATTTACTCAGTATCTGACAACAACAGTATAGCTGTTTTTTTATATTATATATACAAATGAACACACACATACATATAAAAGCATGTATTTATAGATATATCGATATGCACGTAGGACGAGCGGTGGGGCTGAACAAATGCCAGGATACACATGGAATGTAAGAACAGAGCCAGCCCCTCAGAGCTAAGGTGATTCAACAGGATTCCCAGCTTTTCTGTGTTTCAAGGGTTTTGACTACTGGGATTTGAACAGACTGAAATATCACAGTGGCAAACAGAGCAGCATGGAAGTAGACACCACTGTTGCAGTAGAAGTCCAGACTTGTCACATCTTAGTTTTGAAAACGTACTTAATAATATTACAAAAACTGCATCATCCACAATGTTTCCCCTCCCCCAACCCTACTCGCATGTAACAAAAAGCGATTTCTTTCTCTTTAAAGGGTAAAAAAAATTGCAAAATGAACATTTAAAAAGTTTCCTCATAAAAACTCATGTTGAGAAAATACCTAATAATTAAGTGCACCTAGAAAAAAGTTCTGTAATCTATCAGTCATTTGGCTTAGTGTCAGCTCAGCGACATGCTCTGTCTTCCACGGAGCCCAAGTCAGCTCACAGGCTGCGTCCAACCTCACAGGACTTTCCTGACTGGCTTTCTACCAGCACTATACTTGGCAAGATACTTGGTGTTTCTGAGGCCAAGGTCAGCCCAGTGTTTTTTTTTTTTATTTTACAGTGCTTCCAAACGTGTTACAATCTGTAGAAGTATACAAATTATGATTTGCCCAGTAAATACAATTCTGGTGAGTTTCGTGGCTAAAACCACTTTTGGGAAGGTAAGGTAAAAACCAGATCCGGCTGCAAAGACTATAACCTACTTCTGTATTTTATCTTAATCTTGACTTTTTGTTTGATGCCCTTTTGCAGGCTTCCAGTCTTTACAGAGCTTGAACCAACTCCAGGCTCGAAATTATAGCAGCCTTTTGAATTCCTCCACGTGGCCCCAACAAAGCACTTAGGCACCCTCCTTTGCACTGAATTGGGGCACGAATTAAAGTTAAACATCTGCTGAAGTGCTTTGTGGAGGCAGGGGCTGCAGTAGAGAGGGCAGCTGCCCAGTGAGCAGTGATGGAAAAGCCTGGCAAGGAGTCCCTAAACCAGCACTGTTTCGACCCAACCCGAGCTTCGGGGCCTGGGGTCAAAGGGAAGGAAAGAGCAATGCTTTCCAAAAGACTTAATCAATTACAGGACAGAAGCACCAGTTTACTCACAAGACGTACACAGAAGAAAAACCGCCATGGAGAGAAGCAGTAAGATGAGTCTCTTGCTGGGTTTGTTCATGCAACGCAGCCAGTGTTTGGCTTGGAGGGAGCCAAGGGGCTCAGGAGGTGGAAAAAATCATAGCCCGGAGGGGACTTGGGTGATCTCAAATATTATCCTCAACCCTACCAGCAGTGAAGAACTGGAGGCTGTGGGCTTGCAGCATGGGCAAGGGAGCTCACAGGCTGTGGCTGCTGGGAAGGACAGCATGGATCCATGCTCAGGTGGACCTGTGAAGGGGGAGAGCTGAACCTGCTCTGGACATAATGATTTGCAGCTGCATCCAATCAAGCACAGAGGACAATGAGCTCAGGTGGTTTCCCCGAAAGGCATCTCTGCAAGGCTGACTCCTGCCCACAGGGAGAAAACGTTCCCAAGACAGATGGATGAGACCAGGCTGATTCTTACTGGTAATCACAGCAGTGACAGAGAGGTCCTAAATGCAGGTGACAGGAGAGACATCCACCATACTGATGTGTAACACCATCACTGGCAAATATCTCATACAGCTACAGTCTGGGGAAACAAGTCCTTTGAGAGACAGAAAACTGGCACATTGATGCTGGTGTAGCCGATTCCCCGTATGGAAAGGGCATGTGCCCATGGCACATGGTACATGATATGGTACATATCTCCTGGATGGTCATGAGACTACCTGGTTGGTACCAGGAAAGCAAAGAGGCTGACAGGAATGTTTACAAGCCCATCAAGTCCTCATGAAAGCATCTTGAAACAAAACAGTGCCCAAGCAACTCAGAGGTGATTCTATGTCTCAGAAGGTAATTCCTGGAAAGGAGTAAAAGGGCTGTCAAAAACACTGAAAAGCTCCCCTTGTATAAAAAAAAAAGTGCATGCAAACTCCTGCATAAATACAGAGCTGCACTAAACTGTGTGGTTCTCCCAGGCTGAGGACAAACACGTGGTTTGTTATTAATCACTGTTGTTATTATTATTGCTATGATTATGGATGCTTGGGGTCCTGGATCATTGAAGTTCTGCTGTGAGATTGGACCTGATTTTAAACCAACACTCCTCAAAAAAAAAAAAAAAGAAAAGAAAAAAAGATTCCTTTTCTTTCTCTGAGGAATCCTGTCCTGTCTCTGCAGCCACAACAACGTTGACATTCTGCCCATCCTCAGGTACTACCATTCTTCCAAAGTCACGTTAATAATTTCTAAAGGTGGTGGTGTTCCCTTCCAGTCTCTGACCCATTAACTCAGTTCTACTACAAGACTTAAAGCCAAGAAAGCACTAGGAAGAAACACCACTCTTGTTGTTACAACGAACATACGTAAGGGAAGATGCAATTCCTCACATTACAGCTTGGAAACCAAACCACCACTGCAACTCTTTCCAACGTGTTTCCTCACAGCTGCAGATTTTGCTCTTTCTTCTCTTCAGGTTTTTTCTCCCAGTTCATCCAAAGCAAGACCACTGTTTCAATGAAGGCAGTGAATGCATTGCAAAGTAAGTCACAGTATTATTTTTAGAAAAGCTTGATTTCCAGCCAAGAAGTTTGATGCTGGTGAGTCACTTCTAAGTCTTCTCCAATAAAGTAGAGCCTGCTAAAAGGTAGAGATGAAACCCCATCTTGAGAACCACTCCCAGTGGCCCACGTACCAGTTCAATCTCACCAATGCCTCATTTTAAGGACAAGTAATGGAGAGACGTTGTATTCAGCCTCTCTGCAAGGATGAAGTTTACCATAGCAAATGCAGACAGCCAGTCCCAGAGCTCCACAATACACAGATTTACAACCTCCATGTTTTAGTGGGGATGCTTATCTGTATGAATCTGCTCTTTCCATCCAAAATGTGATCAAGTATGATCTTGGCTTCAATTTTGTTGTTGTGGTTGTCTTGCATAACATTAGGAAAAGTTCACTCACGTCTTGCTGGGGCTGGAAAGGGACCTGTGAGCTAAGGTGTGCTATTTTATAAAGATATCCAGAAATCAATAACCAGCCTCTGAAAAATAGGGTCTACATAAATCTAGGTATTCAATACCAGAAGCACAGATGAGCAGAGTTTGGCCTGACAGCCAGCACATGGCACTCGTAAGAGGATGGCTTGACCTTCCTATATTCTGGTAATGCCAGCTGACTTTCTCAACACACAAAGAGATTCCTAGTTTCCTAGGTACTGCTGTGTGACCCTCCTTTCCCCAACCTCTTCAGAACACAGGCGGTATTTAAATAAGCCCATGAGAGCTTGCTGTTTACTCTATAAAAGCACTAGTAGGAATACAGCTAATGAGCCTCCTCTTTCAGTAAAAGGCCTGAGCTTTTACAGCATGAAGTCCTGGATGAGCAGGAAGGTCTATGCAGCTACGGTGGGTAGAAAAGCAGAAACCTGTAGCCCGTACAGTTAATGCAAAATGATGTGCAAGACTGAGCAGGGAAAACCAGGCAGGAGTCAATGGGTTTCTAAGAACCTTTGGCTAACCCCGGTGAAAAGCAGTTCCATCTGGGAAGCTGATGGCACCAATGTGCTACAGAGCACTGAGGGAGGGCACGGAGAAAATAGCAACATCCCGATGCACAGTCAGCTGGCTCTAAGGAAGCCGCATTCCGTCCACGATGCACAGTGATTAGGACAAGCTTCCTCTTTAGGATTAGAATGATTATGAGGGATTTGTTAGATATCTGTGTGCCAAACCCCAGTCTTTCATCATCATCATGTTTGCATAACTCTAATGTATTGACATTAACGGGAGTCAAACATTGCTGTGCATCGAGAGTAAGTGGGAAGTCACAAGTGATGGTGGTTGGGAAGGTGCTCAGTTCTGTTACAATTCCCCAGAATGGTGTCAATCGTACGTGCCCATGAAAGGGGTCGCAATCTGAGAGGAGACACTGCTACTAAAGGTCTCCTGCTTCCACCACCAGTTGAGTCTCAGAAGAAGGTGAAGCTCCTTGAGGCTCCCTTCAAAAACCTGGCCAGGATTTCTGCATTACGCCCGTGGTCTCTTTTGTCCTGTTTGTCTATTCAGTTGTTACTGTAATTCATGCTGGTGAAATGATACCATAAAATGTTATGCTACTTTTTAAACACTGAAACAAATGTTCACCGTATTTACAGCTACTGAGTAAAATTAGGACAGCGATAAAAGGTTAGACAATGACATTTAATGTTACTCCATTAATAGATTTTATCACTTTTTTTTATCCTACCACAACAATGTGTATTTTCATATACATTATATTTAATAAAATGTATTGATATGGAATTAGGAAAGAATGGGTTTAGTACTATTTACATATTTTAATTGAAACAATTTTCTTAACAACATTGAAAAATAGAAACTTAAAGTTCTCTTAATTGTGTTTTCAGCCAGTTAGTGGTAAACAAATGCATGCCTAGGAAGTTACACTCCCTCTAAAATGTGGTCAGTTGAAAGTTTCTAACTAAAGTGTGTATCTCTGTTTTGTTTCAAAAAATACATAAGTATGTCTGTCATTTCTGATACAAAATTCTACACTATCTTCAATAAATAAATAATAAAGCGATTCTGAAAAGTATGAAATGTAAACTTTGTTGTCCCTCCAACATACATTTTTTTTTTTCCCATTGCTTGAAACATTACAGTGGTCTTGTAGGAAATTATAGTACACAGACACTTCCCAGCACAGTTTACACTTATTACCATACTGTATCATCTACCTATCCGTTATGAAGATATCCTAATTTCCTAATGGAAATCAATAAGACTTGTAGTGCTAGAGAACACCGCCTATACAGGAAAGGTGGAAACCAGTACTGAAAGGACATGCAAGGAACACCAAAACCTAACAACAGGCTCCACAAGAACGTTCACATGCTAATGAAACAGGCTGACACCTCCCGGTCGGAAAGAAAGTCCTTACAAAAATACCAGTGTATGCATGATAGGTGAGGAACAAAATGAATCCGAGCAGAACAAAGAGGAATTTTACTCTGAGGGGTCTATTCTTTCTCTGGGGTCCAGACTCAGCAAAGCACCTATGCGTGTTCTCAAGGGAAACGAGGCGCAAGCCCTTACAGCTGGGCGCTTTGCCAAATGGGGAAAATTTGCTGGATGTGGGGCCATAGGTGTGTATTCGTAGAGTTAAATGGAGATATAAGCCTTGGCATTCCCCCAGCTGACAAGGCTGTTAACTTTGGGGTTACCCACTCTGCACCATCCCAAGCGCTCGGTGGCCGGTCGCATCCAGCATCGCTGCCACCGCCCCCGCCGTCGCCACGGCACGCCGCTGCCCTGATTTCAGTGACATGGTGTCAAACACAGTCAGGCACGGTACCTTTTAATAACTGGTCACCACTGATTGCTTTGCAAACTAGATTATGATGTGGGGTGGAAATTAGCTTCCTGAGCTAGAGTCATGATTTATTTTTTTTTTCTTCCCCGCTGCAGGTGACAGATCATCCATCTGCAGTCACAGGATCAAGCAGCAGTAGTAAAGTAGTATCAAAGTGGTATAGCACGACATTCAGCAGGGCTCTACATTTAATCCTTCGCTTACTGTTCGAGCATTCACAGTCCTCTAGAAAACCACAACTTCCAAAGGTACTGAGTGGGTGGAATCTTCTGGCGTGCAACTCATCTCTGTGCAGAAGGACCATACGTAATTTATTTTCAGGGGCAACATGAATCATGAAGTGGTATGTTAATAGAATCTTCTCTGTTTATAGATATAGACTATTTATTTTCTAAGTCTTTTCAGTACCACAATGAAGATCTTCAAGATCTTCTTACTGCGTAACTGCTCCTTCCATTCACATTACATTTACACACCACTTTGCTGAGCAATAGGCACAGAATTCCTTAAGGGGGAAAACCCTGCAGAAAGCCTCCAAAACGTACCAACATTGCCTCCTTCATGTAAATTAAAGACTAGGGTAACTGGAGCAAGCACAGCAACCTATACGGTTTGCCAGCCTTTCAGACTGGAGCACAACGAACAACTAGGTCATTCCATAAACCTAGGAAACTAACCTCAAGTTCCACACAGAGAAATCGAGGGAGATCTCCTCACTAAATTGGGATTAATTTTTCAGTGAGAATTATCAAGGCACAAAGATGCTCCTGTTTGCTTTGATAACCCTCTTACGTGTGAAGGGCAAGCAGTAGTTTCATATCACACTGATAAGGATTTTGCTTCTGCAGACACCTATTGCAGTTGAACTCAGACTGAAATAAAACATTGGTCCCTCTCCTTCTAAGGCTCATCGAACAATTGCAGGTCTAGTCGGACGACTATCTCTCCTGTTGGGACTTCATGCAGAAGGAGACACTTTGTAACTGGTCCCTTTGACCCCTGATCCTTCTTAATGTCTGCCACACGGATCTCTGTTCTGCCCAAAAAGTCTGAAATGCAAAAAGACAGCATGCTCAGAAATGACACAAATGGTTTACGTTGCAATAAAATGCTAATTTGCAGAAGGAGCTAAGCTTCCATCTGCACACAACAAAAGGAGAAAACAAGTCTTCAGTCCAGCTATATTTTTGCAGTTGAAAAAGGCCAAAGGCCACCGATTTGCACAGAAGAGGATTTTAGCTGGACCATATTAGACAGCAGCAGCATTAAAAATAAATGGTCCATTAAGCAGAAAAATCTAGTATGTAATTCACAGCTGCCTTGCTTCTGTAGCTTATTTATTTTATGATATGTTAGCAAAAAAGGCCAAAGGCTGCTGCACAGTTCAAACTGAGTATGAAGCCCTTTGGAGATGATAGAGCCAAGGAGTGCATCACACCAGCAACGAGGTCAATGGGTCGACTGGTGCTGGCCATATGAATGGCAGCCCTATCCAAGAGGTTCCTGAGAGATTATGACTCCAAAATACACTCTTCAATGCCCCATATGTTTATCTCAGGTTATTAATTAAGAATGGGTTAGGAATCCTGGCTTCATTTTGGCCACTGTTACTGCACATTACAGGAACTATCCATTTGCAATCACCTTCCAGAGTTTTTTAAAGACTTAGCAGAATTGCAAACCACACTTCAGTTGTTGTAAAGTTGTACAAGAAAGGAGACCCCCCAAAAAACAGTTTGATTCTTTTTGCATGACTGCACTGGGGAGCAAGGGTGAGTAGGGGCTCCTCATATGCAAAGGGGTTTGATATTGGGGTTGGAACTAGATGATCTTTAAAGGCTCCTCCCAACCCAAACCATTCTCTGATTCCATGATTTACCTCAGCAGACATATATCTCTTCAAAACAGGACATTTGGAAATACCCTTGGAAGGACAGCAGCCCCCTACGTACCATCTGGGGAGAACTGGTCCCTCTCAAACACCGTAATGCAAAGCACATCCTGCTCGAGGTCTTTGATAAAGAACTGGCAGTTGGAGTTCCACTTCGGGTTGAGGGTGTCCTGTATCGTCTTGGTAATGTGGCACTGAGAGCCCATCGTTACCTCACAGTATGGATTACTCTTTCCTGGGAAAAGAGAAACAAATGAAAAAGAGAAATCGTGGTTTTAGGTGTGTGATCTTCTTCCTAAATGTCCCTTTACTCCTACAGCCAACAGACCGGGGAAAGACTGTGGCCATCACAACGAACAGGGACACAGTTCCATGAGGCACTGAGCACCTTCCACTCTTCATTTCAAAACTTTGTGGCTTGTGATCTCTTATGATATGGCTTAGGTGGTGGAAACTAAGTTTGCCTGAAATAAATGCTTAAGTGCAGTCCATGATGGCTACCAAACTGCACAAAACCACTTTGGTATATTTTAAGTTCATTAAAATGGCTTCATTAAACAAAACCATGTTTTGGACAGAACCTCCTTCAAAGTTAGTCTGACAAATAGGAATATTTTCTTCATAGAGCACATTGCGGAAAACGCAAGGCACTTACCATGGGACCTGCAAGGTTTTAGTTCAATGCCTTCAACAATATTCACCATCAACCTCCCAATGCCTGTCGCTCTTTGTGAGCGAACTGTGGTGAAACAGAAGAGGAGAGAGAAAAGTCATTAACATGTTTTCTTGCCCATGGACTTTTCCATAAAAGATGAGACCCCCCTGCATCCCATGCTGTACCTAAGTAGGCTTTTTCCCTCTTCTTCTTTTCAGTCTCTATGTAAAGTTCTGAAGCAGCTTTGATCTTCTGAACCCAGGCAGTCCTTCAGAAGGAAATGAAAAAAAAAAAGTTGCAAAATACCATTCCCATTTTTCTTCCCTGGAGTACAGCAGACAAACCCCTCCTTCCCAACCAAGGCTCTGGCCCCATCACAGACTGCTACACTGAAGCTGTGTGCCTGGAAGAGATCCTATGGGATTTTATAGCACCTGCAGAAACGTAACCATCCCAAGCTAGCAGATCTCACCACACAAATTAAACTCAAGAGAATCACGAGCAGGAGGAACTTGGTGAGAAATCAAAAGGTGTATACATAACAGGTTTGTTTTCACTAAGCTTTCTGCTTTACTGGAATAAACTGCCTTCTTGTAGCCAGAAGACAGAAGACAGCCACATTGCAGACAGCCAGTTTTCTTGATCCTAGAGGCTTCATATCAAAATCCTGCTGAGCCTCATGAAGCATAAGTCAGGAAATACAGAGATAATGAATGACTGGGATTCCCTATGGGCCCTTCTGGGAAATCATTTCATATTTAATAGACTGAGTGGAAAGACTGACAGAGAAAAAGCATAGAAGAAGGGGTCCTGTGGGACCTCAAGGATTTAGAAGAATGGCTGTGACATATGAGCGAGCCTGAGACCTGAGTGAAGGCAAAATGATAGAATGTAGAAGCTGTGGATCCACTTTTGATCCCAAAATGAAGAGCTGCTGCTCTACAGGGCATTGCAGCTACTTACACAGATTTGGGTCTGAACGCTCGCCTGCATACTGCACAGAAAGCTGTTTAAGAAAACAAAACACTTAAGGACAATTCTGTCTCCCAGCTCCACCCTAAATGGTAAACGGCAGCTTCAGAAGTACGCTAAGCCTTTGCTCCACAAAGGTCTTTTAAGATTAAATAGGCAAATTAATCACTCATTGATGCTAATGTTGCTCTTAGTTAAAAGCAAGTGAATGATGAAAACCTGGAGGTATCTCACCTAAAAAGCTGCATTTATTTAATAAGCAATTCTGGCACAAAAGTAAGACAAGGGCTGTATTGCATATAAGTGAAGGCATTTGGCTAGAGTGTCCAAATCCGGATAGGAGTTCCGGTGTGTTCTCTCTATAGTGTCTGTAGAGAGGCAGGAACCTCCAGAGGGCGTTCAGTACGTGAAGATCTGGCTCCTTCCACTGATGGTTCAGCGTAGGGTGCCTAAGCATCCCGCTGAAGTTCCTTGAGCTAGGTAGGATGAATGCAGTGCAGAGTTTAGATGATTCTGACCACTGCTGAGTGCTCTGACACAGAACAGACGATTATTGCTACGGTCTGATCTGTGTCATGGGTCCTAAATTGAAAAGGCTGTGTCAATTTTCATCACCAAGGGTCTAACCATGATACTTATTCATTCTGTGGCATAGAGGGACAGATAACATCCCAAAGGACAAGGGGGAACCATAAAAGTATGATCTTCTGCAAGAAAACTATGTGTATAAAAAATAATGAATAACACTGTCAGGCAGGCAGGGAGCAAAGATGTTTTATACATTTCAATGTATCAGAATTTTTAGGGACCACACATTTGGAAACTGGCATAATGCCATGTCTATACTATGGTGGTGAATTTTTCTGTACTTTCAGGTTTCATTTTTTAACAAAAGTTGTCTTTCAAGATCTTACATTTGTGCAGAGAAACCTTCTCAATGTGAGTCAGTGTAACGCTGTCTCCATAAGCTTGCCAGAGACAAAAATCACCAGTTGAGGTTTTGAGGTCACCGTTCTTTTGATGGTTTCAGTCTGAACTGAACCAAATTAAACCTAACTGGATTTTCTCCAGTTGGTTTTTGCTTCAAGTCTAATTCTGGCCCGTTCCTCGTTCTCATTCAACATGCAGCCATACAAATGCTTGCACTGGCACAAACAAACAGATGATAACAGAAGAAGGTAGGACTGCACCTTTTGCCTTCCTTATTCTAACATAAAATGTTGTGAAATATGGCCTATGTATCTGCCCTCCTCAGCATTTCACTGCTGGTCTTACTGAAATTCAGGAAATGTCTTTACTTCTCCCTTCTTTTCATATATTGAATACCATGATAATCTCGAGCAGAAGAAATTCTCCAGTCATGTAAGATAAACTGCTTGGAGACTGCTATGCATGTATACATCAAATACATTCACAGTAGGCTTTTCAAATTCAATACTAACATGGCCTACGGAGGTACTTACCTTTCATTAATGCTCTCAGCCCGGAGTGTATAGACTCTATCAATGTGGGAGATATGGAAGATGGGCTCATCTCCAGAAGGGTCTGTGGGTAATTTTACTAGTACCTCATTTAGAAAAATGGGCTGTAAAACATTAGGCAAAGCTAGAGTTCTATCACACAATATCTGAACAGATGCATTCAACACAGAGCAATTTACAACAGATTTCTTCTGTGCCTCAATATCTTTCCCCTTCTGCCTGCCTCCCATCTTTCTTCAGATATGATGTCATTTGGGGAATTTTCTTATTATCAAAGATATAGGTCCCTCCACAGTTTTGGAACACCTCTCCTGAAGTAAGAAAGCAGCTCCTTTCCCACAAAGAGCAGCTAACGCTACTCTCCCCATCACTCCCTGAGACACGGGACCTCTGTTGGAGAGGTTGTTAGAGCAAAACTTCAAAAGTATCTTCTCTTATCTCGCTAAAGGCAAACAACCTGCTTTCTCACCATCAGTCCCTGGAATCCCCAGCACATGCCAAAGCTTTCAAACCTCTTCTACACAAAGGCTATTGCCTGCACATCCAGCATGGGAGCTGCTGCCTGCTCCATGCACTGTTAGCGTCTTAGTTATCTTAGTCACCATTAGCATATCCTAGCCTCATTAGGCTTTAATGATTCATTAGTTATCTAAATAATAGATTCATTAGCTATCTAAATCACCCTTTAAGAGTGGTACTTACAGTTTTGTACATTTTGTATTGCAGATTAGACTTGGGGCTGAAGACCTTGTCTGTGCCAGAAGAGCCAAGAGGTTTTATGATCTGAGTCAGGAGGAGGAAATCGTTGAACAGAAAGCCATACAGTTCCTTGTTACTCTTGGCTTTATAGAGTTTCCCACTGTGCAGAAACTTGCGTGGTCCCAAGCAGTTTGTAACAGAATTAAAAACGAGTTGCTGCGAAAAGTAGAAGAAGAACAACAACGCACTGTATAAAGTAAAACAATCGAGGTTCCCCTGAAAGAGATCAAATATAGTTTTGAGTCCTGACATTGGTTTTAGTTTGTGTCGCAGGGATGACGAGCAATGTCTCTTGTCTTGCGCATGATAAGCAGTGCAAGTCATAGAAATGCTATATGAAAATTAACTTTAAGGCAGCCCATCAGTTGCACGGGGCATGACCTGGAGTCAGAGAAAAGCCAAGAGCATTTGTGCCTCCTTTAGAGTTTCTCTGCCACGCGCATGCATCGCTGTGAGCGGAACTGAGCTGATGATGACTTGCCCCGGATTAGCAGTAGTTAATGCATATGGCCTCTCCAAACGCTGAGCTTTCTTAATAAGGCCTAGATTTCTGAATTGTGTTTTAATTTCACCCATTAAAACATACCACAAGAATTCTAAATAGCCGGCCTTTGTGTACCCACAATACCTGGAGTTAGAGGACAGCTGCTGAACAGTGGCTTGAACTGGCAGAATTTAAGACTTATCTGGAGGTTGTTACCAGATGAGTAGTGGCTTGCCCTTTCCTAAAGTGTCATTTTCAGGTTTATTTTCACTGGGTGATAGTACAGTTCTTGCCTTCCTTGTTGGCCAGGCAGCTGGATCTGGAGTGGCTCCTTTTACAGATTAGAAATATCTCAGAAAACTGAGTGATGGCCAGACCTCTCCTTACCACTGATTCAAGGCTGCTACTGCTGTTACTGTGTCATCAAGCAGCCAGTTGGTCTTTCAGGTAATATTTCAGGTGTTCTAGGGCCAGACATTGTGTACAGAAGATAAAAGCTGCCATCTTCCTTTAGGCAGTACTTATAAGTCAGCTGAACATGACTTTGACCCTTCTGAAATTGTTATACCTGTCTTTCTGAAACAGTTACATTTCATAAGATGAAATGCAATGTTTTCCAGTTTATAAACCAGGCAATGCTTTTTTTTTTTTTTAGTCTTCCAGAACTGAAAACTCAATGCCTATTTTGAAAATCAGGAGAGAAAATCTGTCTGCCTTGATTATATTTACCAATAACTGTGAGGCCATCAAAATACCCTCCATCCTTTTGTAGGGCATACTGACACAATTATGTTCTTTATAGTTCCAGTAGAGAAGCTTAGCTTGTTACCTTAAAAAATAGTATGCAATGGCAGGCAGTGATTCTCTCTGTAAAGTCTTGAGAGAGTCTTGATCAGTGTTCTTGAGTTTCCAAAATGCATACAAAGTTTTATCACACACACACACAAAAATATTTCTGTGATTAACGCACTCCAGGATGGTCAGGTAGAGGTTCAGGATGTGATACAGCAGTACAACAACCGCTGTTTATTATAAAGAGTTATGAAACTGGAAAGCCGCGGTTGAAAATCGCAGCGTTGAACCTGGCACTAGTCCAGAGGCAGGCAACAAAAGCAGCATTTATCATATAGAAGGCAACAACGCCAGCAGCAAAAAAAGGATTACGTGCAGGAGTGAAAGGGAGCCAAAGAAAGATGAGAACAAAGGATTGAAGATTATATGACTTGATTAATCACACTGTTTGTCCCCCGATGCAGCGCCGTTAAGTGAGCTACAGTTTCTTCCCGACCGGTGAAGAAGTGTACCCACATTTGCATTACTCTAAACAGAACATTTTTTTTACCTCCGACAGGCCTTCGCATTGAACATGAGCCTGGATCCACTCCAGCCTATCTGAATTTTCCTTCTCCCGCACGCCTTCATTTACTTGAGAACATAATTCTTCTGCTTTCTCAAGAGCATGCTTCAAGTGACTGTGGTCTGGGTGGTTTTCAGGAGTGTTTTCTATTATCTACAGATAAATAAAACACATTAGCCTTTTCTGTTATCTGCAGTTAAAAAGTATTTATAGTACAGTTCTGTTTTATTTCTTTATTTTCATCAGAGCCAGCCAGTATGTTTCAAATTTCTTTTCCTCCTCGAGAAACATGAAAAATAGGAAACAAACTCACAGTCTGTTTGTGAAGGGCTGAAGCGAATGCACAGCCTTGACATCAGTACACTGCTCACTCTTCTGACATAACTATGCAAATTCCCACCATGCACAGAAATATATCCATGACTGTTTAAGGACTCTCTTAAATGCCAACATCCAATTTGTAATACTTTCCTGCGAAAGTCTTGGGCCAAGTTCAATACCATTATTCAGGATGGTAAGTGTTAGGCAACAAATGGAAGTTAGGAAAGGGTTGTAAGTCACCCGGCAAGGTAAGCTGTGCAGTAAGGTAACTTCCAACAATTTGGCATTCAGGCTTTTGTACACCAAATGTCATTTACGAGACTACAGGGAGAGAATGACACTGTGGAAAATGGCAAGGATGAGCATAAGATTGACTTGTTACTCCCTTTATCTGAATCCTAAAGTTTTTGCTCATCGTTTACTGCCTCCTGGTTCTTTGTGTGCAAGTTTCATCCCTGCTCCTAATGGAAATCCAGAGCCATTTCTCCAAAGCCAAATGAGTTATGGCATTAGCTGGCATTCTCCAGGCATTTCAGCCTGGAGAAGAGGAGGCTGAGGGGAGCCCTTATTGCTCTCTACAACTACCTGAAAGGAGGCTGTAGAGAGGTGGGGGTCGGTCTCTTCTCTCAAGTCACAGGCGACAGGACGAGAGGAAATGGCCTCAAGTTACGCCAGGGGAGGTTCAGGCTGGATATTAGGAAAAATTTTTTCACTGAAAGGGTTATCAGGCATTGGAATGGGCTGCCCAGGGAGGTGGTTGAGGCACCATCCCTGGAGGGGTTCAAAAGACGGGTTGATGTAGTGCTGGGAGGTATGGTTTAGTGATGGTGATGCTTCTTGTTTGTTGTGTGGGTGTCTATTTTTGTCAGTTAGGTTGACGGTTGGAAAAGATGATCTTTAAGGTCCCTTCCAACCTAGAAGATTCTGTGATTCTAGTGTGATCAAATAGAACAGGATACTCCATGTTACCTAGCACATCAGATATCTAACAACGATAAAGATTGACACAAATAGGGAAACTACCCTGTAAACAAGCTATAAGCAAAGCAGCATCAAAAAACATCATCTTTGCAAAAGAACGTACATTTTTAATTATTAGTGGGTATCTTGTTACCCGTTGCATAGGCTTTAGTAGAAAACTTGATAGTGGCATTCCTTTACAGCGAGGATCCATTGCTAACCTCTGAAACATTAGAGAGGTAAAATGGTGTTAGTCAGTTTGTTTAAAACCCTGCAAAATGAGCTCCTCCAAGAAAAAAAAAAAAAAAAAAAGGTAAGGCAACAAAAGAACACCACGCCTCAGCTAAATCTGTTCTTAGATCACAAGCCATATCAGTGCAGGAGAATTTCCTGTATTTTTTACAACGTATTCTTCACCTGCCCTGCCTGTACAAGAGAAGGGCCTCCTCTTACTGTCCCAGCATTTTACAGCCAAACCATTAATAAACAAAGTATTTTATGGCTCTGTAGTTGCTTGAAAAAATGTATTATTTCAATGAAAACATGTACTCCTTCAATGAGTGTAAAAGTCTGAAGCTTCTTCGTTCTAGCCCAACACAGAGCACTATTTGAGACTACGTTTTGCAAATTAGTGAAATGATGAGCTAAATTTACTACATGCTGTACAAAATTTACTACTAAATGGTGTACAAAATTCATGGCGATCACTTCTTCTTTTCTTACTTTAACAAACTCCTTGAACTCGGGGACTTCGTCTGTCTTCTGCTGGATGAGCGCTGCCCCGTTGAGCTGGCAGCTGCAGAACCGAATGTAAGGCTGCATGTGTGGCAGCTGAGCAGTCAGTATGTCACCAATCATCTTCACTGGCATCTTCTCTCCAGACATCTTCTTACGCACACGCAAAGCCCTAAGCATGAAAAGCTCATGTGTATTTTATAAGCAGACCGCTAAAGAATGATTCCTCATTTATGAAATAAATGGTTCGATTCTTATTCATTATTGACATAGAGAGACCCCTGATTATTGCAGAGATCAGCCACAAGATTTATTGAGTATTGTAAGAACACAATAATCAAGATTGCACCCTCAGCCAACATTTTTCCCTCTTGTGGTAACCAAGCTGTTATTTGACATGAACTTAATGCAATGCCAGATCAGATGCAATATTAAAAGGAATGTAGTTTTCTTTTCTATTAGTTTAGAGAGTAACAGATATGCTCATGAATGAGGGATAAAAACCTTACCACTACTGCAAGCTCAAAGCTACTTCTAGTTTTCAGCCTGGTTCCCTAAGGAAAGGAGGTTTATTGTCATTGAGTTGCCTGCATTTGTCCTATCACCGTCATAACTTTTCAACTTGTGGGCTGTTTTCAAACACATTTTACGAAAAAGGAGGTATCTCAAAGTTATGGACTCGATGATCTTAAGGGTCTTTTCCAACAGAAATGATTACAAAATTCCCGGAAGTTCAATGAAAATTAGCTGCTCGATAGGGAAAAAAGGAACTTTATTAGTCCTTTTGCTTATGAAGATGCAGGTTTAACTCAATCCTTGCTCAGCTTCTCTGGCAATGACCAGATGTGCAGCCTGCAGGCACATGCCTCCAAACCAGCCCCAGCCCTTACTGTGTCTTGCTGAAGCAGTAGGGATGGGTGAGAAGGACGCAAGTAGGAAGAGTGGATCCATCAGAGGCCACAGAGAATTAAGGGAGAAATAAAAGTACTTGCACTGTGTGGAGTTTCATGGCAGAGAGTTGGGGTTGCAATACTTGGAGACTTTGAAAGGAAGGGCGCAGGGTACACTGGACACAAATCCATAGGAAACCAGGCTTTGTTGGCACCACTCCTCACAAAACAGCTCATTCAGGTGATATAAGCTACAGTCACTGAAGGAATGCACCAGCTAACTCGGAATAAGGGAGGCAGAGGCTGCTGTGCCTTGTTTCGCACTCATGGATAATGACTGGAACTGGGTATGGGCTGTGACAGAGGAAGTAAAGGTCTGCCACAGGACTGCGGGGAGCCTTGGCAGGCACTACTCTTCAGGGGAGGTTGATCTTGCCTTCTGGAGCACATGTACATCAAGAGCAAAGTAAGTGCAAATACTGAATCAGCAAAGAACTCCTGGATTTTTCTCAACAACAACAATAAGTCATAGCAAACATTGTTAATATTTTGCTTTTTCCAGCGAGGAAAAAAGCATGGCCCTTTTGGTTACTACTTGCTTAAGTGGCAAATATTTTCATGCAGCTAAAAGGAAAAGCAGGGGTGGAGGCCCATGATCTTGTTATTGCTAAGTATGGGGAAAAAAAAAACTTACTTCAGTAGTTTTATATTGCACATAATCAGCTCCTTCCAATTAACAAAAATCATAGCAACTTCTTTTTCTGTTAGCAGCTCAGATTCCATTAGTGGTTTCTGGAAGATCTATAGATTCAGAAAATTAAGCAATTTAGAAAGTATATGGCATGTATACTTACTTACATCAGTCTTAGTTAAGACTGATGTTGCTCATTTCCTTAGTCTGGAGGTGAGAAACCTTCACATCAGAGTAGCACTTGACACTCAGTGGGTTCCAAACATGCTCTGTGCCCTAAAGATCCAGCATTCCCTGATAATATGTTAGTGAGCGGCGTATGGCTTTAAAAGAGAATACTCTAAATTTGTGTTGGTAGTGTTAATTATGACCTGGATAATTTGAAACTTGGGAATTTTAGTTAGAGGTGTCCTGCAAAATATCCCAGGATCACTTTGATAATACAACTTAAATTCTGATTTATCTCGCAGTGTCCCAGGTTTGCACATCTTGACCTCTTTTTCAATAAAAGGGCTTTTCCTCTCTGACAAAAGAATTGTCTCAGTTGTCTGTACTAATTCCCTTTTTTCCACAAAAGAGATGCACCTTGTAACACTTAACGAAAATCACAGCAAGTGATAACGAAGTGCCACTGTGAATGTGGAAACTGGCACATAAAGTGCTTCAAGCTTTAAGAACTTACACACGAGTAATAATATTCAAAATCAGGAGCAAAAAGGGTTTACAAGAAGGTTTACACTAAAACAGTGATTTAGTGATGGTAACACAAGGGCTTACATTAGTTGCACCCACACCCGTACATGCACGTATATATCTATAGAAATAGATACATAGATGAAAATTTCATACAGATCATCCATTGGAAGTCAAACACAGCAGTGGTACAAAATGAGTTTGCACAGTGAAATTATTGATCTACTTTTAAAAGATGAGTGATTAAAACCTGCTCCTAAAGCTCCTGTGCCATCTTACCTCTGTGACCAACTGCAGATCATTTACATAGTTCTCTTCTGTGACAATTAGCTCATGGATGTATCCCTGCCTTTTTCTTTCGGTAGGTGTCAACATATCCAGAAGATGCAAGTCTGCACACCCTGGAAAACACAAAAGGATCCTAGATTTTACTTACGGTCATTCGGATCTGCAGCAGTTCAAATAATGCTTAATGAACAGTAACTACTACCTGTTTGGTTCACTTAATCATTATTCACATTTAATGGCACAACGTTAACAATGCTTCATCTCTTAGTGACTCAAAACATTGTATTTAGCACATAAAAAAAAAAAAAATCAAGGCTATTTTTATATTATAAGTTTTCTCTGGTGGCAAAGCTTAGAAGTCCCCCTCACCACCACCTGCCCATTTCCAACCTCACTCTGAAGCTGACTGTCCCCTTTAGTTGTGTCATTCAACTGGAGCCACACTGTAAAACAAATCCCCACATGGGTGGTTGTTAATGAAAAAAGGGGGAAAAGACTTCATGTGGTATAACTGTCAAAGAAAATTTAAAGATATCCTAAAAGGAAACAGAAATTAGGAAGGAGGGCTACAGTGATGGGCACTTTGGAATTTCAGCCAACTTATACTCTAAATTCAAGATTAGCCTTTATCCTTCTAGTCAAAGCAGGCATCGTAATCAAGAAGGTCCTGCAGAGCTTATTTACTTCTTCACAATGCAATTAAAAATTGCTTCTAAATTTTTGAAGGTTAGTGAGGATCACTCCACAGATTTCACTAATTTATAGGCCAAGCCAAGGGGGTTTATTATTGTTCTCCTCTATCTCTAAAAGCGTGGGAGAAGTTTGTAATTAAGAACTCATCTTCCATCAGTTTTGTCCTTTAATTTTTGCAAACCACCTTCCTTGTGTTTATCCTGTGTAGATGCTAGAATTTTCATATAAATTCTAGAATCTCAATTTTTATTTTCTATTCAGAATTAGAACAGAATGTTTCATTACAATTTTTTTCTGTAAGCCAGTATTTTTCAGCCGAGCTTGATTAAATTCTTCGGAGGCTGTCAAGCAGAACATTTTCTTCCAGTTTCACTTTTTACACTACTTTTATTACTTTTCTGCATAAAATACAATGCATTTCAAAAAGCAAAGGTAAGATGTTTTCAAATAGGTTGAAAACATTTGTCTTTAAAAGCGCACTATTTACAACTATTTCTACACAATCAAAATTCTTCAATTTAATTCATTCCCCCACCCTCCAGCGAAGTATTCGCAAATTCAGTATCATAGAATCATAGAATCATAGAATGGTTTGGGTTGGAAGGGACCTCAAAGACCATCGAGTTCCAACCCCCCTGCCGTGGGCAGGGACACCTCCCACTAGAGCAGGTTGCTCAAAGCCCCATCCAGCCTGGCCTTGAACACCTCCAGGGATGGGGCATCCACAACTTCCCTGGGCAACCTGTTCCAGTGTCTCACCACCCTCATAGTAAATAGTATATTCCTCCCCATTGAAACAAACTTTCCTTATGGAAAAAGCTCCAACACAAAAATATTCAAGGGGACCTTCACTTCATGGGGTTTAAAGTGGTCAAGGCTTTATTTTTACATTTTTTTACCAGCATCAACAATGACACCAACCTACTGAGATCTGACGGGGAGAGTTTTTGATCATTTGTTCGCATATGCTTTCACAAAGTGACCACTACTGCTCCTAATCACATCACACTCCGGCCAACTCCATCAGTTCTTTGCATATAAAGTTAATGCTTAGATAGCATTTACTGCATTTTTAGCTTCCTGAACATAACCCAGGAGCTGATTCTGCCACTAGCAAGGTCTGTGTGTACCACCATTAAGTTTTTCATGGACTATCTTCAACTGCTGCTTCAACTACTCTGTGCTCCTGAAAAGGTAATGATAAATTTGACTTTAAGAAAAAAAAAAAGAAAAGTAGATACAAACAAGGTAGTTTCCTTTGTAATTAAGAAGCCAGGAACAGATCCGCCTGGAAGCATAGCACACTGTAGTCCTTTAGAACGTGTAGTTGAAACTTCGAAATACAAAGTAGGTTTTGAGAAATATCAACTTTTTTGCCAAAATAATCAAAGCACTAGGCACATTTCAAAAGCCAAAAGTTTCATTTCTGCTTAAGAAATGGCTGCTTTCATAGCGTTTTCTTAGTTATCATGTAAATCAGAGGTATAATAAACAGAATTAGTTCTCCCCATGCACTGTCAGCTTCATTAAAAGGGAACAAAGTGTTTAATTATTTTTCTCCACAGACTGGGGAAGTTTACTGTTCAAGATGCTGATGGCCTTGGTTTGAAGTGTGGTTTCCAACCACCAGCCTTTTAGAGGAAGCATTTAACACTTTGAACCATAATATATTGTAGCGGCTGGCTTGACAGCCAGCCAGCTGGGATGTCAATGGGCTGCTCTGAACTTCAACAAATGGTCTACTTTCAAACACCCGATATTTGGGAAAATAGCCTGCTTGAATCTGGGCAGAACATGCAGGAGACATTTTTGTGATAAGGAGTTTTCTTCATGAGGTGCACACGCACTAGGATTTTTCATGTCTTTTTATTAAAAACACCAAAGAAGAACTGGATTCCTTTCCAAGGGGAAATGTCAGGCCACAGGGCTCTAGCTAGTTTTTCATGGACACCAAAGTACTGTGCAAAGTACTTTTATGAACATCCAAATTCCACTTGCAGCTGTAATAATACCATTCATTAATTCAATCCACTGAAACAGAGGCCTGCTAGGGGCTAGAAAGTGCCCTCCGTATCAGACGTTTGCACCAACAGATGGGAAAGCTTTGCTGTGGGTAAAGCACGGGACCTTACCCCAGTGTAGAACTGGTTAATGTTTCTAACTTAAAGCACACAGATACGCACACATGCACACAGCCACTCAGGTACTTCAAATCAGGCACTGGGATTTGTCTTCAGTTATTGAACGCCCCATTCTTTCATATTTTCTCTCCTGCTCTGAGACAGCACAGCGTTGGATCCCATCTGGAAGGTGCCAAATTTGCATCCTGAGCTACAAACAATCTAGTAAACTCAGAAAAGAACGGGGAAATTACAATAGCTAGCTTGGTATGTTCACAGTACTGTGAATACGCAAATTTCTGCCCTTTAACTGAATAACCAGTATGACCCAAGCAGAGGCGTCCTCACACACTCACCAGACTGGTTATTCTGTGCGGTCTTACAGAAACAACATTACAAATGCTGTAACTAGAAATCCATGCTTTGACCTCCTGTCACCATAGGACCTATAGGACTAAGGGATGCTAGAAATGCAACAATTAATTTCAAATATCATTCTAAGAAGCAATCTTGTTGTTCCTTTTCCTTACAGTCAGCCCTGAAAATGTGGGTGTTACAAGCTAAGCACTAAGCTTGAAAGCGATGCGCAAGAGATGCCGCATTTTCAGAAGGCTGGTTCTGCTGTGGGACTCACTGACCGACGCTCATGGGCACAACTTCTGATTTCTTCTAATTCCTGGAGAATTTCTAATCAAGGCAACTGCCAGACTTCACTGTAAAACTCATGCTGGCCCAGATCGTAACGACAAGACCACAGCAGACAGGAATCTGTTCTATTATAGGGAACTAGAAGTAGAAAAAAAAAATGTCACAAAAACTTAGGGTTTTCCTCCAAAACCTTAAGGGGGGAGAAATAGCACTCCCGGCACCATGATAGTGTTCCTTTACTCAAATTACAGCATTTCACCATTCAGTCTTCTTATCAGCCAGCTTCAGATGCAACAACCAGCTTCCCTTCAATATCTTGCAGGATGGACCCTCCACTGAGAGACTACCTCAAGCTTTTGCTGAGGACAGAGCAGAGTCTGGTGATCAAGCAGAGCATTTTCTTCTGGGACAGACAGAAGCAGGCTCTAGAAACAAGTCTGAAAAGTCGCCCTTGCAAGATATTAAGCATTACTTGGGTTTTGCCAAGACCACACACCATGAACACATGTGCCTCCTCCTCCTGATCACACCAGTCAGCTATTATCAGATGGGGAGGATTGCCACTGCCAATCCACACAGGCCAAGCAACAGACTCAAGGACGTAGAAAAGGTCCTACCATTTCAATTTTCCCTTTTTTTTTTTTTTTTTTTGGTTTGGTTTGGTTTGTTTGTTTTAAATTCTAGAACATGCCTGAGTGCTAAAGGCAAGTTTCATAGTCCTTAACACACACTTGTGATACACTACCATCATCTTCATTTTGCAATAGCAAAATCTTTCTGCAGTGTTTTAGGTTAATATCTTAGTTTCTATGAAAAAAAAAAAAAAAAGAGTTTTAGTATTCAATCAAGGGAAGGAGATGAAGAAGAAAGGTGAGACAGTTGGGAAGGAAACATACTAAATCCTTTCAAAAAAACACACAACATGCCTACCACTCCCTGCCCAGAATCTGCTTGGAGAGAATAAAATCCTACATGTGAGAGCATGGATGCATCTAAAAGTATAAATAGGCGGAGTTAACCAATTCCTGGACTGGTTTACCTCACATCAGGTAACTTTAAATCTCACTTCTGAATTATGACCCAGGACCTATCTTGAGCCCCTGACCACTTACTGTCCAGTAATGGCAAATAAGTCAAGAGCATCAGCCACAGATCCAAGCAGAACTCAACAGTCCAATTTTACATTGTCTTCCAGAAAAATAAAGATGTTGTGTAGGTATTTCACTTGGGAGTCAGAATCGTGGTAACTAAATGTAGTATTCTAAAAATTAAAATACATTTTTTTTTTTTTCCACTTTCTTGGGCAGACCTCCAGCCACCATCTTTCCCAGCTTCAGGTCTTCCCCCCAAAAGAATTAAAGTGAAGGAATAAATCCAGATTTATTTGAACACTCATTTGGATCCAGAATTACTCCAACATATGAAACAATTCAGAGAAAACTGCACTTGACAACGTGAGTGCGATGGATAAAACATGGATCCAGTTTCAGCCACCTAGGCCAGGGCACAGAAAATCTTTATCTGTGACACTGATTTGAGCCCAGTTCAGACCAGCACTCTGCCAGCGCTGGCACCAGTTCACAGCCCCACACTGGTGGGGGTCAGCAGAGTTGGCAGCATCATGTCAGGCAGCTGTGAGTACAAACTGGTAC